CTCAGAGCCCGCGAGCTGAGGCTGCCTGCTGGTGGGGAAGCTGGCCGCGGTGTGGGCTCGTTACCGAGGCCTCTCCGTCCAGAGGCAGGAGTCTTCCTTCCCCCTAACCCTTCAAAATTCTCACAGGAGAGATGCTAGACCTCCAAGCGGAGCCCTTTCCTGAGCGCCAAGTCAGAAAGCCACCCTTGATCTCGGCCCCCACGAGGAAGGGGGCTGGGCCCAATCTAGCCGCACACTTTTCTAGACATGAAAAGGATCAGGGCGGTGGGTACCTGGAATGTGTGTGTAAGGAGGGAGGTAAGCTCCAGGCGAGCATCGTCCCTGGCCCTGGGGCCACCTTGCCTTACATGAAGTGTCATGGCCAGGTAAGGGCCAGAACAGGTTCTGTAATATATAGAAGCCAGGTAGGAACCCTCTTGCCCAGGATTTAATAACTACTGATGTTACTTTTACTTAGTTGTTATATCAAAGCATTATACATAATTGATCCCATGGTAGTATACAAGGTTTACTTATTGATTTTAGTGCAAACAACATTTTACTACAACCCTGGAAGGGATGAGGGCAAAAAAAAGCATGTTTTCAGGATTTTTTTTAGGTCTACCCTCATTCAGAATAGTTTTTAGAAGATAATAAAAAACCTCCAAACAATTAACATAACTAATTATTTTCCACAAATACACAAAGTAGATGAGGCAATCACTTAACATCCCAAATTTTTATTAGGCCATTTTAGGAATGTCTAAACTATAATTTAACACTAAATAGATAATTCAAAATAATTACAATTTGAATTGTATGGTTGATTTATTAATGACATATGAAAAATCTAGATGCAGGACCCCCTTTATTAACAATAACACGTAGCAAACTAAGTGAATATTTCTAGAATACTTAGGCTAAAATTATGCATTCTAAATGGTAACAGACTTTTAAGAAATGTGGAGCTCTTCACTTGGAATATTTAATTTGCTAGAGCACTCTTTTGTAATATGGTCCTAAATCCCTTTATATTAACAGAGCTGATTACCATACGCAGCTCTGCTTTGAACTACAAGGACTGCAGGACATCAAGTCTGCCTAGATTGGCAAGTGTTCCAATAGGCCACAAAATGTCTTAGCTGGAAGTTAGGAAGAATCTAGCCTCACACTCTTTTCTAGACAGGAAAACGAATCAGGATAGGTAAGGAACTTGACCAAGGTCACACAGCTGGTAATCTATGTAATATTAATGACTCTAGCTCAAAAGATGGGTCCTTAATAGCCCCATTAAACAACCACAAGGAAAGCCCTGTAGTCATAGGATCTTAGAGTAAAACATATGAAATTACTGTTTTTGCAGCTCAAAAACAGTTGACTCAATGAAAGAAATTGATTTTAGAAATATGTTGACATTATAATTTTACATTTTAAAATGTAAATAACCATGCAATTTTTAAATTAAAGCCTGTATATATGAGCTTGGATATATGAGCTTGGATATTGTAGTAGTTTCCCAGGGTTGCAATAGTAAGGTACTGAAACTGGGTGCTTAAACAATAGAAATGTTTAGTGTCATAGTTCTGGGGGCCAGAAGTCTTGAGATCAAGGTGTTGACAGGATTAGTTCCTTCTGAGGGCTCTGAAGAAGAATCTGTTCCATGCCTCTCCCCTGTTTCTGGTGGTTGCCAGCAATCTTTGGCATTCTTGGCTTGTGGATGTATCACCTTGGTCTCTGCTTTCATCTCCACATGGAATTCTCCCTGTGTGCATGTGTGTCCCCAAATTTCTCTGTTTATAAGAACACCAGCCATATTGGATTAGGGCCCCATCTTCCTCCATCTTAACTAATTACAACTGCAATGACCCTATTTCCAAATAAGGTCACATTGTGAGGTACTGGGAGTCGGGACTTCCACATATTAATTGGGAACACAATTCATCTCATAACAGACATAAACACGGCAAATCATTTCATTTTTGCAATTACTATGCAGAAATATTAGACAACGCATCCTATGCTATTGAAAATTTGCTTTGGAAGTAGAAATGACTCAAAAGTAGAAGGTGGGTGAAAGGATGTGATGTCACATGCATGTGTGCATGTAACCTCTCCTGCCACTGAGCATTTACACTGGTGTAACATTCATTGCCTCATTTTTAAGCCCCACGACAGCCTTTTGAGGGTACATACATCTAAGCAACTGGCTTAAGATCATGCTGCCCAGAAGTAGTGCTAGAATTTGCAAACAGACTTGTTCCAATTCCAAAATTTATCCTTTCTTAGCTTCCATATCGAATGGAAGTGTAATATTCCTACTTGGCACTCAGAGGGAATACATTTCTCATCCTTTCTAGCAGTTAAATGGGTCTATAAGACCTGGTCTCACCAGTGAAATGTGAGCAGAAGTGATACAGCCACTTCCAGGCTTGGCCCCAAAACATTCTGCATCCTCTTCTCCATTTTTCATTAGTTGCCCAGCTAGAAGCGGAAGATCCAATGGAGAACTGTGAGAATCTGGAAGAAGAGTGGATAACTAAAAGGGCACAGGGATGTGTCTTGGGCAAGAAATAAACCTTATGTTGAGTTACTGATATTTTTGGGTTGTTTGTTTCAGCAATGGGCATTACTTTTCCTGACAAATACACAAGCATTCTATGCAACATTTACACAAATGCATCAAAATATCTTTTCACAACATTCTCATTGAGGATTTATGTGACTATCCAGATGGTCAAAGAAACTGCAAACCTGAAACTCCGAGGTTAAGAGTCAGTAGAGGAGGAAAGAGGCCTAGATAGTGAAGGCAAAGCTACAGTGAAGAAACTTCTAAAATAACTCTGTACAATGGGACTTTCAGAAATTATGGAAATATTCTATTCTGTGTTGTCCTATATGGTAACCACTACCTGCATGTAGCTATTAGGCAATTGAATATGGCTAATGTTGAGGAATTTAATTTTTAATTTCATTTCATTTTAATTTCTGAAAATTTATATTTTAGAGGACACATGTATCTAGTGCTACAGTGTTTGACAGTGCAGATCTATAGATAAAGATAGAGATAAAGATGGATAAGCAAGGCTGGGGCAAGGAGGGGGGGTCATAAGTCACCAGGAAGTGGAAAGGTAGGAAATAGAAGGTAAGATGCCATTCTGAGGGGAACTGTAATGGTTAATTTTATGTATCAACTTGGCTAGGCTATGGTGTCCAATTGTTGCTGTGAAGCTATTTTTCTTCTAATATGTGACTAGAGGCCCGATGCATGAAGATTCCTGCAAGAATGGGCCTTCTTTCCCCTAGCTCCGCCTTTCACTTTTGCTCCAGCCCAAAGCTGCCTTTCTGCCTTCCTATGCTGCCTAGAGGCCCGGAGGGCTGGGGCGGTGCAGAAGGCCTGTGTCGTCGCCATGGCAACGACGCAAGCGTCCGGTCCGCCCCTGGCCTCTCGGTGTCTGCATATGCAAATTAACCCACCATATTTGTTGGGTTAATTTGCATACTCACTCCTGATTGGCTGGTGGGTGTCACGAAGGTATGGTCATTTTGCATCTTTCTCTTTTATTAGTGTAGATTAACATTTAAATCAGTAGACTTTGAGTAAAGCAAATTATCTTCCATAATGTGGGTGGGCCTCATCCAATCAGTTGAAGGCTTTAAGAGAAAAGACAGATCTCAAGAAGAAGAAGGAATTTTGTCTCCAGACTACCTTTGGACTCAAAACTGCAATATCAACTACTGCAGATAAGTTTAGCCTGTGGGCCTTACCTATTGACTTTGGACTTTTAAGCCCCTACAATTTCTCTTTCTCTCTCTCTCTCTCTCTCTCTCTCTCTCTCTCTCCCCTCTCTCTCCATATATATAGATGTTCCTATAGATATATAGATATTTATATCTATCTTAACTGGTTCTGTTTCTCTGGAGAACCCTGACTAATACAGGAGGGCATGAGGTTACTAAGAGCCTTTTTTCTCAAAGGTATTTGTAATAGCCAGTTTAAAACAATAAGAATTGGGTAAAAATTCCAATAAAAAATTAAAACATAAATTCCCTCATTTGATTTTATATCATGCAAACCAACAACTAATGTGTGGGTCTCAGGAATTACATGAAAAATGCCAAGTAACAGCAAAAAATAGAATAACAGAATAGTTGAATGGCTCTAGCCAGAGACTTGCTTCTTAAATGAGATTAGCTCAGTCTCACAGCTCTTACATGCCTATGATTTCCAATGAAGTCCTTTAATTCGTACCTTCGTGGGGTCTTCAGGATTATCCCTTGTTGACAAGAACGAATACTCAGAGGCAATAGACTTGTGGCACCAAAACTTTGTACTCTTTTCTCCCTGCAGGACTGGCTGGTGGCTTGGTTCTGCCTGGGAGGGACTGCTCCACAGCTCTGATCCCTGGGTACTTGAGCAGCACCCCTGCATCCGTGGGTGCTGATGTCACACGTGAACAATCTCTGAATGCTGAGATTCTTCTCAAAGATCATTTGGGGGATTTCATAATTGTCTGCCACGTGGATGAACTTCTCATCAGGGTTCAACAAGTACTCCTAACAACAAGGATTAGAAACAAAGGGTCACCCTAGGCCTGCCCTTACAACTCACAGGCAGGTTGAAACTAAAGAATTTTGCATAATAAATACCATTTAATTTGTCGGCTATGTGTTTATGTTTACAAGGCAACAGGTCATCTAGTATAGAACACGCCACTTATCATCTGCAATTATCCGTGGCACGTGTCTTTGTAGAAATGGTGCCTTCATTCATTCCTGGGGCACTTGGATGGTGACTGCCACGCAGAACATTGTCCCTGTTCCAACAAACTC